CAAGTGGCCTTCAGAAGGACCAGTCCCTTGGAAAGGAAATTATGATGCTTGGAAAGATGGAGAATGAGTAAAGGAGAGAAAGGCCTTCCACAAGATAGACTGACATGGTGACTGTAACAATGGGTTGAGGCCAGCAGAACTTGTGAAGATGTCACAGGATCAGGCAGGGCTTCTTTCTGTTGTACGCAGGGTGCTTCTGAGTCAAATACAGCAACTAACAACAATAATAGAAGACTTACAAGTCAATGTCAAGACTTGACAGCATCACTGGCAAAGGTTTGTTCCTTCTTAAAGTAACCAAATTAAAGGAGAAAAGTAATTTGGAAATCTATTTCTACATTTTTAGTCATCCTTTCACTACCGCTCAAGACATCTGCCCCTACCCTGAATTTCCACAAAGCAGAGAGGATTCCAACGTTCATGCAAAATATTATCACTTTGTCACACTGCCTCTGGGCATCTGGGTATTGACGTTGCATATGAAGCAACTATCTAGCAGCACAGGGAACTCTGGTGGCTTGGTGTTAAGTAGTTACACTGCCAATCCAAAGGCATGGAGTTCGAATCCACTAGCTTCTCCACAAGAGAAAGATGGGCAGTGGGCAATCTCTTCCTATGAGACTTACTGCCTCTGAAAATTTGCTGGAAAGTCAGCCATGAGTCACTTCTGACATGATGGTTTATAACAACAACAGGCTAGCAACAATACAGATGTTTCCTATGAATTAGTATCTGAATCTTTTAAAATAAAGTGCCCAGCAACTTCAGTTAGAACCCATATGTTCTCAAAAACTCAAATTCACTGTTGTCAAGTTGGTTCTGACTCATAGCAGTCCTCCATTAGTGTACATCTTTTTGGAAGGAGACTGCCCACCTTTCTCCCTTACACCCCTAAAAAAATCTGGATTCCTCAACCCCCTAACTTAAGACACAAATCCATCTGAAAATTAAAATATTACTAGTATTATTGCAATGCAAATAGCCGTGACTGTTGGATCAGTCTTATTTTCCCTGTAGCTTAGTGGGTATGGAGTTGGGCTGCCAACCCAAAGGCAGGCAGTTCGAGTCTACCAGTTGCTCCGCAGAAGAAAGATGGGCAGTCTTCCCTTGCCATTTACAGCCTCTGAAAATCTGCTGGAGGATCAGTTCCAACTTGACAACAATGACTTTGAGTTTGAGAGGGTAACTTTGAAAAATGAAGTTAATGCTGCTTCATTCAATGAACAAGGCCCAGAGCTTCAACGTCAATGATGCTAGTGAGTTTTCTTTTTAAAAATTTTTTATTATTTGTGTGTGTGTGTGTGTGTGTGTGTGTGTGTGTGTGTGTGTGTGTACCGTCAAATCATATCTGACTGGTACAGGAGGAGATTGTCCCTCCTTTTCCAGCAGAGCATCTGGTAGATTCAAACAAATCACTTCTGGGATTGCAGTGCAGCTTCTTGCCACTAGGCCATGTAAGTTTTCTTTTGTGGAAGAGATTTGCTCCCTAAAAAAAAAAAAAGCTACATAACATAAAATTAGTAAATTTTTAAATAGTTTTAAAGTGTGTGCATTGTCATGATCTAATTCCAGAACATTCTCAATCGCCTCAAAAGGAAACCCTTGCACGAGTTAAGGGGTTCGGGTGGCACAGTGGTCAAGCATTAGGCAGCTCACCAAAAGGTCATAGGGTTGATCCTATCAGTCACTCTGCGTAGCAGAAAGATTCTGTAATCAGCTTCCATGAAAAAGCCAGCCTTGGAGACCATGAGACAGTTCTGGATCCGTGACACAGTCTGTAGCTGGGATGCTACTCAAAGGTCAAGCTTCTCTAAATGGTAGGAAGCCACCCCCAGCTTCTCAGGAAAAAAGATGAGCAATCTCCTTCCGTGCAATTTACAGCCTCTAAAAGTCCCCGGAAGGTCAGCTCCGAGCTGGTTCTGACTCAACAGTAAGTTTGAGTTTGACTCTCAAGGGTGTCCAGGAGCCTCTCCTCCTGCAGGGTCTCTGTGAGTTGGAACCAATCGCAGGACAGTGATATGTGCATGGACTGAGCCGTCCCTCCCCTGTGTCTTCTCTCTCTCACCGTGGCCCCTGGAAACCACTACGCTTTCATTCTCTGTGGATTTGCCTATTCTGGGTCTTTTACATAAAATGAGATCATTCCGTTCCTGATCTGTTGTGTCTGCTTCTCTCACTTAGCATAATATTTTTAGGCCCATTTCTTCTGTAACGGGTGCCAGTACTTGATTCCTTTTTGTAAATGATGTCCCTTGTTGTTTTGTTATATGCCGTTGAGGCAGATCCAACCCCCCCTGGCTGACCCTCCAGTGGATTTTCACACACAGAGATGGCTCATCCTTCTCCCAACGAGTAGCTAGCGGATTTGAACTGTGTGCTTTTGGGTTGGCAGTGCAGCTGCTTACCACTCAATAACTCCCTGGACATACATGTCATCACGCTATGTACCTGGGCAGCACACATGCTAATACAGAAAGGCTGGCAGTTGGAGCCCAGTTAGAGGTGCCTCAGAAGACACACCTGGCTATTTGCTGCCACGAAGTCACAACCTTGAAAGTCTGCTAGAGTTCTGCTCTGCACACATGGAGTCACGGAGAGTCAGAACGGACTTGACAGTAACTCACAGTCTGTGTATCTACACCTTGTGCTTCTGTGGGCCTTACTTGGTGAGGATTTGGGCTGCTTCCACCTTTCACGTAGCTCTGCTATGTACAAGGAGCACAAACTGATGTACAAGCTTTTGTTTGAACACCTGTTTTCAATTCTTTGGGGTCTACTTAAGAATTGAATGGCTAGAACAAATGATAAGTTTGCTTGCTTATGTTAATGACTGCCCAATCCTGGATGGAAGTCAATCATCTTTGAGCCTTTGAGACCAGACAGACATTCTCCATGGAGCGCAGAGTACACAGTTTGCCTGACAGCACCACTCGGTGATTGATTTTAAGGTTTTAAAGACCTGCCAAACTCCTAGATCTTTTTTTTTTTTTTTTTAAATTTTCCTAATTTACCAGCCATCTTGATCTGCGGACAACTAGAGGTATCTGGACAACTGCAGTTCCACCCCAGGCTGTGCTCAACAAAGTCTCTTTACCAGAAAGCACTGGTTTGTGCAGCTGAGCTCGTTCCAAGCCAGGCTTGTTCCAAGGCAAGGCTACAGGCAGGGAAGGCTCTGAGCAGCTTCCTCTGTTGCTCCGCGTGTTACAACATGAACTGGCTGGGCCGGAATAGCCTCCTGCCTTCTAAGGCAGCTTCCCTTCTCCATTATGTAGTACATACTTTAGGAAAGAAATAAGAAAAAAGATGTTAACTTCCTAAACATAGGCCTTCCTCCTCCTCTACTTAAGGCAGAGTTCACACAAGTCCATGGAGGAGTCATGCTTGGGTAGGTGGTGAGCACTGTCCTGGGAGGGAGTTAATCTTTCACTCACTCCATGAGGCCGCTCAGACCAGAGAGTCTCTAACCAGAATAGACTTTACATTCTGCCTGAGTGCCCCACCCAAGGATTCTAACGCTATCAACCCTCAGATACCAGAGTCCATCCAGCCTACTTTGTATATTGTAGATTCAATCTGCCCTAAGTTTGACTGAGAGAAGATAACCCTATTTACTGAGAGCACCGTTTGTCGCACATAACTGAATCATGAGGCTACTCAGCCATTAACTAAACCCCTCACCGTAACTGATTAGCAGAGATTTTTAAATTTAAACTAGCCTCTCCTAACTGCCGACCTGTTGTCTTAATATCCTTACATACAGGAAGTTTCCAGGCAACAGGAGCCACACTAAACAGTGTTACATTGCTCCACCCAGAAGAGGTAAAAAACTGCTCTCCTCCTCATCTCCAAAGATGCGACTGAATACTGAGAGAGTGAAGAGGGCAAGCTTCGGGGTCCTAGCTGTCACTTGTGCCAGGTGTGTCCTCCACGCGGCCCTTTCAGGTGTGGGCATCTCGCGACTCTGTGGACTCATGATGTTCCTATTTTCTGTAATCCGGCAGGAAACTTAAAACAGGCCGGTTCCCGACCCCAGTGCGTGTGCTTATCTCATCCTTTTAGGGAAGAGAGTGCATCAGTGTCCAGCTGGGGGATTTTTGCCATGACCTCACCCTCTGCGGTAACTGTCGCCTCTCTGAGCGCTGCCCAGCATCGCTCGCTGCAGGCATTGCGCAGCTCGGGCGGGAACCCGCGGGTAAAGCCACTCGGACTCCCCCAAAGAAGGACACTGGCAGGGGGCTGAGACTGCCATCAGCTGGCCAGGGCGATCATTCCGTATCGTCACCGGCACCGCCGTTAAGAAAATGCATCCCAGATTTTCCAGCCTGGAGCCGGCAGTTTGAATGACTTTTGACCCAGTGGTTTTCGAAATAAGGCGCGGGAACAGTGACAGCAGGCGATGGGCATGTAAACCGGGAGGGAGAGTGACGGGAGCGGTCAGGGAGGAGAAGCAGCCCAAAGGGCAGTGTCGGAGACCCGGCGGCCGGCTGTCCGGGCTCCAGGGAGCAGCCCTTCTGCCCATAAATAGGCGCAGTTAATTAAAAGGAAACAGAAAGTCGGGCTCCGCGGCCGTCGCCCCGCCCACCCCGCGCCCCGCCCACCGCGCGCTCCGCCCAGCCCTGCACCACGTGACCGCAGCTCCCGCCCTCCTCGCGCGAGCGCAGCCGCGGCCGCGGGCACGCGTACGAACGAGCCCGCGCGTGATTCGTCGGCCCGGACGGGAACCGCCCAGCGCCGCGTGCGTGCGCGTCCCTGGTAGGCAGCGGGCGCGCGGGCACCGCGGGGGCCACCGCCCCTTCCCGGGCCCGCCCTCTCTCCCTCCCTCCACGGTGCTCCCGGCCCGCCCTAGCCGGCTCGCCCTCGAGTCAGTCTGCTCGTTCCCTCCCTCCCCGGGCGCGCTCGGGCCGCTGCAGCGCTCCCTGCCCTCGAGCCGCGGAGCCGGAGCCGCCCGCAACCCGCGGAGGAGGTGGAGGGAGCCGCAGGGTTCCGCCGAGGAGGCGGCGGCGGCAAGATGGCGGACTTCCTGCCGTCGCGCTCCGTGCTGTCCGTGTGCTTCCCGGGCTGCGTGCTGACGAGCGGCGAGGCCGAGCAGCAGCGCAAGTCCAAGGAGATCGACAAATGCCTGTCGCGCGAGAAGACCTACGTGAAGCGGCTGGTGAAAATCCTGCTGCTGGGCGCGGGCGAGAGCGGCAAGTCCACGTTCTTGAAGCAGATGCGGATCATCCACGGGCAGGACTTCGACCAGCGCGCGCGCGAGGAGTTCCGCCCCACCATCTACAGCAACGTGATCAAAGGTGCCGGCGGGGGCCGGGGGTCGGTGATCGGGGGCCGGGGATCGGAGATCGGGGGCGGCTGGGCACCGCCCTCGCGCGAGACCCGGGCGGGAAGGGGGCGCGCCCCGGCGCTTCTCCTTGCTTCGGAGCGCGCTCCTCTCCGCCTCTCGGGGCGCTTGGGGTCGCCCCGCTTTCCCCTTGAGGCCTCCCCGGGGTCACGGCCAGGCCTCCCCGCCAGCCTTGCCCCTCGGAGGGGGAAGTTAGGAAGACTGGGCGCCTTGGGGTGCGGGGTGACCTCTCCTGCCTTCCTCCTTCCAGCGGGGCCATCCCTAACCCCTGGTCCTTCCCGGTCTCTGCTGAACCTCGCAGCCCCGGGGGGTGGGTCACCCGAGCTCCTACTCTTGGCTTCCCCGACCCCCTTCAGGCTCGGGAGTTCTGGGACCCTGGGCGATAGAGAAACTTTTTTGGCCCAGAATTGTCAAGGGCGAAGGGTGACAGCTTCTGGGACTCTTTTTTCTTTTTTTTGGGAAAGGATGTGAAACTTGAGGGTGTCATTTTCACTCTCCTGGCAGAAGGAAAAGAATAAACTCATACAGTTGACTCTTAAAAAAATTAGCATCGGTGGTTTTTCGCCTTATTGTCACAGTCTGGCAGGATGTTAGCGTGTAATCTCTGTCAAGCACGCGCAGCTCTCCCTTATGGCTAAGTGGGGCAGGGATCGGGGTGCACCAGCCCTTGCTGCTATGCTTTAAATGCAGTGGTGGAATAATATTAAACAGTTTTGGCCTAAGGTGCTGCTGATCCTATAGATGCAGAGTCTGAATCACTGCAGAGTTGAAGCCTAGACTTTCCTGTTTCTCTCTGTTAACATAGAAATTTGGTATGGTTGGGGTTTGTGTGTGTGTGTGTGTGTGTGTGTGTGTGTGTTTAAATAAAAAGTGAAACTTTGTTCTAAAGTGAGAAGCACAGAACAATATTTCTGGCTTTTTCAGAGAACTAAGAGCTCATGACTTTTGTTTTGTAAATTGTGTGGTAATTAGCATGCCTTTGTCCTTGGATCCAGTTTTGCACCCAAACCACTTAAAATTCATCAGGAGCCCCTTTCTTGAGTACCAGTGATCTGCTGGAAGGGGTTCCAGATCTTCTGAGCAGCCTGTTTCTAGTAGGATTCTTCTTGCTCAGGAAGTACTTACTCCAGGCTGACTCTTTCATGTCACTTTTTACCACCTGGAGTTTGATGGAGGAATGCCCAGAGAGACAGACAGTGTGGGTCAGGAGCCAGAGAGCCGTTTAGGCCCAAAAGTTTACAGCCGGTGGTGAGCATTTTCAGCCCCATTCTCTCCCCAGTTAGGTTGTGAAAAGCAGTTGTATTTCTTCTGCTTTAATAGTTAGCATAAAGCCCAATTAAGATCTCTTTGGAGGCCTTTGCCTCTCTGCCTTACCAGCTTTTAATTGAAGGTGACTCTGGATCCTACTGCAACTGAATTTAAGGAATTTGTGTTAATGAATAGAGTTCAAGATTTTAACCGGTTACTGGCCAGATAGCTGGTTCTTAATGCACACAGAGGCCTAAGTGTGACCGGTTTTCATCATTGATTATGAGGTGAAGTCATTAGACATTAGTTCTGCATGATCTGAAAATGGACAGCAAATCAGTTTTTCAATTATCAAAGCTAATGACTTCCTAATAGGCATGCAGAGCTGTTGACAGTAACTGGTTGAGTGACACATTCTGGGTTTGAACTAACTGCTGTGGATTAAAATGTCTCCTTTTACATTTCTCGTTGCAGCTAGTCGTCTTCCCTTTTAGGAGCTCAAAAACCATCCTGATTTGAAGCTCGATCTGGGAGAAGTTTGGGGATTGTTAGGGTGTCACGTTAATGCTGGGGTTAGGCAGGGTGGTGAAGGAAGAAACAGACCACAGACATTAATGCTTAGTGTCACACACAGCCATTGCTGTCAGGCAGATTCTGGCCACTAGACTGTACAGAGAACTCTTGTTTTTCTTCAGTGGTTTGGGTTCTGTTTGGGCAGCTTTTTTCCCCAGCTGAAATTTTATGAATTAGAACATGCAAAAATTCTTCAGATAAAGCAAGAGAGTTGATAGCATGCAAGGCTTTGGTCTTAGGATTGTGGCTAACAGTTGTTGTTTTTTAAACTCTGAGAAAGTAAGGATGGGTGTTGTGTTATTGGTGTCCATTTTTGGAGATGGGCTTGGAACTGTTAAGATGTCTAAAACAAGAAAGTAATATTAGGGTTTTTCAGGATTAAAACTTATGAGAATATTTAATAACTTCTTCCTATGCCTTTTATTTTTTTAAACAAAGGTATGAGGGTCCTGGTTGACGCTCGAGAGAAGCTGCATATTCCTTGGGGAGATAATTCAAACCAACTCAATGGAGACAAGATGATGGCATTTGACACGCGGGCACCCATGGCGGCCCAGGGCATGGTGGAGACGAAGGTGTTTTTGCAGTATCTTCCTGCGATAAGAGCACTCTGGGCGGATAGTGGCATCCAGAATGCCTATGACCGGCGCCGAGAATTTCAACTGGTAAGAGATTGGCTCTCTTTAAAGTGCTGGGACTTTATTTTGATGACATTTAATAATACTTCCTTTTTAGGACACTTTTTCAAATGACAGCCAGAATCACAGATTGCTGCATAGTAAGTCGCTGGACAGCCGCTGTCCACAGTGGTCACCCAGCACTTGCTCGTTAATGTCCGGGAATCTGCCCTCCTTATGAAATACTTGAGTCAGTCCCTGCCGGCAAGCGACGCTTCATCACAGTCCCCTCCACTTGCTGCATGTGCAGCCTTTAGATCACTGATAACATGATCTTTGTAGAAAACCAAACCCACTACTATCACCCAGGGGATTCTGATTCATAGTGCTCCTGTGGGATCCAATAGAACTTCCAAGGCTGTTCATCTCTCTGGAAGTGACTTTGTATTACCCCAACAGATGACCTTCTGAGAAGCGTGTGACTGGTAAGATGGTGACTGTCACGTGATAGAAATACTGGATTTCTCCTAAGGCATGACTGGTGGGTTCAAACCACCCACTTCTTGATAACCAGTTAAGCCCATTAAGTACTGTGTCCCCAGGGTTCCTATCTTGGAGTAAAGTGAAACTATGTAAGAACCCCGTGTGTCTGTCTTATCTACAAATTCTGTGTAAAGACACGCTTAGGAAGAGCTTGTAATCCAGAGACTTTCTATGAGTGTTTGTGTATGTATGCTTTTTATTAACTCCGTGATGCTATTATATTGAATTGACCATTTTTCCATTTGGAAAATAAGGATTATTTTAGGCATTTTCTTTCAAGTTTTTTTTTTTAAAGTATTTTTTCCTAATTATGACACTATTAATTCTTCTAAAAATTGGTCTTGTCCTGCTGGGATAAGGGTCCAGGAACTGAAACTCATTGTTCAGAAATGATGCATACTGAGCAGAGATACTCATTTTAGGATAGAGGCTAGTAAAAGAGATTAAAATCTGAGATGATAGGGGAGCTCTGGTGGCCTAGTGGCAAGAAGCTGCACTGCAATCCCAGAGGAACACGGTTCACATCCACCAGATGCTCTGCCGGAGAAGGAGGCGCAATATCCTCCTGTACCAGTCAGATCTGATTTGATGGTACACGCACACAAAATAATAATAAAGAAAAAAAAAGATAAACTTTAAAAAAAAATTTTGAGATGATAATTTAACAGTAAATTTGGGATGGGTTTTTTCCCCGTTGTATTTATATTTGCCTTTTGCTTTTTTTTAAGCTTGCCAAGCACATTATATAGAGTGTTCCTTCTTAGAAAAGAATAGAATTTCTTTTACGGTTTTTTTTCCCTCCCACTTCGCACTGACTCCCCAGAAACTCTGTAGCAGTTACACCACATTGAAGGAAAGACTAGAAAAGAAAGACTCAGATCTAGGTTAAAGATATAAAAATAATAAACAAATGGGGTTCTGAGTCAAGTGTTTTCTAAATTTAATTGTGAATACTTTGATTGTGTTCTGAGTTTACTTTATCAAACACCAGGAAGATTCAGCAGTGATAGCCATCGAGACTCATATGCAGTCTGGAAGTAGTTCAGATCCAGAGTGTTTCACTGGGACATGATCAACATAAAGTGACAATGGAAAGTAAAATTGCTTAGAAAGTTGCTTGATGATGTCACCGACGTTAGGGTGATCCACATTATGGGCGCGGTTACGCAGTGATGTACAGCCGGCTGTCGGTGCTATTACAATTTGTACTTGAGCAGGCTTGAGTCTTAAAAGTTCTAGAAAAGTATTCATGGCATCTTTTAACAGAACTGACACCTTAATCTTTATATTGCCTTTGAATTACAGCTTTGCATGCACTTGATTACGTTCAGCTCTGCTTCTGCTGTCCTCTCTTTATGTGTGTCTTGTCTCTTGTCTGTTTTGGAAAGAGGGGCTATCTTAAATTGTTGTTAAGACAGCTGGCAGCCTTACAGATGGGAAATGATGAATGTAACTGGACAAGTGGCCTCCACTCAGTTCCAGACTCGGCTGCCTTTTTCCCTCTGGTCAGTTTTGCTTAAATCATTTCCTCCACATAGCCCTTCTCTTCTGTCTGTAAGTGCTGATGATTCTTAGTTCTTGTTCTCAACAAGTCACACTTGGCACAATCTGGTTTTCAGGACATTTTTCCTCTTCGTAGGTCAGAGAAGAAACAGCAGTGTAATAAGTGAACGTATTGATTGGCCGAATGTGCATTAGGAGCTGGCACTGCAGTGACTGCGGCAGTGGGCTTGAGTGTGTCAGAATAGAACAGGGGTCACATCTGTTGTTCGCAGGGTCTCTGGGGGTCACACTCAGCTCCGTGGCACCTCACAGCAACAACTTCCCACTGCAAAGCTCTGTGTGGCCAAGCTCCACATTCACCAATGTCCGCTTAATGACATTTGGGTTCCACTGACATCTCTTGAACTTGGGACATTCACATCCCAAAATCTCATTTCGCTGATGTCATGTTGTCGCTATTCAGACAGCACTCCTGGAGGTGGCTTTGTCATTGAGAGCCCTGTTTGAAGCCATCCAGGTGGCGGAAGTGCAAGTGACCTAGGTCAGAGATGCTGAAAGAGCTAACAGGGCCCCAGGGCAGAGAGGACAGGTTCCAGACATACTATTTAAAATGTTGGGACACAGGAAAAAAAGGAACAGGGCAAAACCTCCTTGAAAACAGGGATTCGCTTCTTCCCTCCTGTGTGTATCTTCAGTGTTCATAACAATCCCCGTTGCATGTAGTAGGTGCTCAGTTAGATGGTGAATAAGAATTTATACTTTTCTTGAGTGCTTCGTGGTGTGTTGGGCATTGGAAGACTCAATTTAAAGGCTTACTTAAAATTTCTCAAAAAGTCCTTAAGTTTCTTCTTCGTGTCTGTGTGCATCGAATCCCCAGGTCTTCCCCTCTCCTTTGTAGTGATACCTCTCAGCTTGTGTTTGCTCAGAAAGCCTAGATCCTTCTCTGTCACCCCTCAGAGTTTTACTTCATGTGAGTTCAAGTACTCTTCAAGCTCTGCATTCTGTTAGACCGGGGCATGACCTGAACGTCTGCATTCCTGCATACCCTGCATTTCCATGTCTGTGACTGTCTTCATATAGTCAGGGTTCGACTTGCCATATCTGGGTGTGACAGTCTGACCCTGACCCTTAGCTTGGTGGGCATCAGATTGAATCTGATGTGATCCTCTGATTCTTTCCCTCAGAGCCACCTGGGGTACTTTAAAAAAAAATAAGGCAAGAAACCAAATTCAAAAAGCAGATTCCCAGAGAAGCTGATTCCGTACAAGACCCCGATGGATCTTTTTAACACCACCCTTGGGTGATTTAGTCTCTCTTCCGTTTGACGTGTTTGTTTTCTCACTCTCATCATTGTCAGCTGTGAATTAAGAGTTACTGGCTCTCGATAAATTAGAGGCTCCCTTGGTAGGCCTGTTTTGTCTGTAGTACTGGCCTAGCACTGTATTTCCTCAATTCTTTACCCTCTGCGTTACAAGGTTCTTCAAGTGGGGGAAATACTCTGCATTCAGTTCCTCCTGGGGAAGATGCATATTTCTGTCAAGTCTGTTAGTTTGCTGAGGGATGGGAAATCTTTCTGTAATATAATCAGTTTTCTCTTTTGTTATGTCTAACAGTGCATATTCTTGAGTCATGAGTGCAAGTGAAGTGAATTAAACTTCAGGGAAAATGGGAAGAGTTGACAGGTGAAGTATCGAAAAATAGACTTTTTGTTTCAGTTTGTTGTTGTTAGTAAATTTAATAATGTAAATTGAAATTCTGAAGTAAACGTTGATGGTTTAAGGCCCTCCTTGACTTGTGCTTTGCTGACAGCAGGTGCCTGCCCCTTTGTCAGCCTTCAGACTTCGGTGTTGGCGTCTCAGGCGAGGCCCGCTGTCCGCCACTCAGCAGTAGTACGTTTCAGGACAAACGTGAATGTTTTCTTTTGCAAATTCCCAAAGACAAACATTGCCTTTTCTGGTGCGTTCTCCTGTGAACAAGCAAAGTTGCTGATTGTAGAATGAAACATTCACATTCTGGCTACAGACGAAAGTTCCTCTCTAATAATTAGAATCCAGACTCTTGAGGACAGTATACCCTAAGGAATTTGGTTTCTCTTTTGTATTGGAAGAGCTTGACCATACCGTGAACTGCCAAGAAAACAAATAGGTCTGCCTTGGAGAAGGTGAAACCAAGTTTCTCCTTGGAGGCTAGGATTTTTGAAGTTCTGCCTCATACATATGTTGGGCACATGGCCAAGAGAGGGACTAATCCTTGGAGAAGGATGTCATGCTTGGAAGAATGGAGGGGACAGCGTAGGAGAGGAAGACCCAGGATGAGATAGATTGATACAGTAACTGGGATAGTGGGGGCAGGTGTGTCTGGGTCAGTGAGAATGGCTCAGGACAGGCTTCAGAGCTCCTAGGGTCACTTTGGGTCTCAGGTGACTCGATGGCCCATAACAACAACTGTTTAGCTTTGGCTCAGCGTTTGTATAAGCCTCTGTTGCATTAATGAGACACTGTGTGTTTAGAGAAACGTCTTGTGAACTTGGTAACTAAAATGACTAAAGAAATGGAGGTCGTCATGGGTTATCTGGGAAATGATATAATTGGAGAAACCCAGCAAAACTCACAAAGTGCTGGGAGTCTCGGCCAGTGGCTTTTGTTTTGAGTGTGAATTTAGATGTACTTACCGAGAAGTGCACACAGAATTTCTAGAACTGGTGGTGCGTAGGGTAGGAAAGCATGTGTGCTGTTGGAGGGACGCCCCTCGGCTTCCTCCTTCTGTAAACAGTTTGGCTTTGTCAGCATTGGTCCAGCTTTCTGCAGTGGCCAGCCTGTCTCTGCAGTTTCTGAAACCAAAACTGTTTTCTTCCTTAGCATGGTTCCTGTGGTTCAGCTTGTTTTTATCCCTCAAATGGTGGAGTTTGTGCTTAATGGTAGTTACAGACTCTTCAAAGCTGTTTAAGAGTTCTTTGTTTTTAAAAACAGGGATTCATCCCTTAGTCTGTATAACAAAGTAAC